ACTACGATTTGGGGTGAGTGAAGCTAGGGGGTGGTCTTTTGGTGTGTATTTCTATAAATTCCAATACACACATAGCTTCATTTATCTACTACCACAATCACGGTGCAGAACAGTGCCATTATTCCATTAAACTCGCTCGTGCTGCTCCTGTGTAGCTATGTCCTCCCGCCCTTCAACCTGTAACCTCTGGCAACTGCTGATGTGTGTTCTGTCACTATCGTTTTGCCTTTTCAAGAACTCCCTTTCCTTTTGATAATTCCTTAAATCACCTTTGCTTTATTTTTTAATAGGAGCCTCTGAATACTTATATGTCTGTGCACAAGAAATTTCAATATCAGCTGACTTTCGTCTCCATTGTGACTGTTTTGTTGTTAGCTGTTGCTAACATTTATAAGCACTTCCTATGCATCAGAGTTGCACTAAGCTCTAATGCCCTAAGATATGCATTATCTCATTGACCCTCACAGTGGCCTCTCATACTATCTCCATTTTACAGATATGGGAACTGAAGATCAGACAAGTGAAGGAACTTTCCCAGCTCATCACAGATAACAAGTGATTGAAACCCAGGCCCAATATAGCTCCATCTGACTGTAAATTCTTAAACACTTACAATTAGCAATAAAAGGGAGGAGGTTATAACTAGAGAGGTGGTGCCCTGAGAGAGATAGGCAGCAGTGCCAATTCAGGACCATATGGTTTTTAAAATGTTTGCAAATGTGTGTAATGCTGGAGAATCATCTGGGTCTCCTGACTTCTCAACCTCCACCTTCACCTATCTGTCTTTCTCCACCAGTCACATATGGTCTGTGCTATCCCAGGTGGTGCCTGCCTGCTGTTTTCAGGGGTCTAGCATGATTTGAATCCCCTTACATATTTAGCAAAAGCCATCAATTATATCACAGCTCTGTCTCAGAATACAACATCTGAGCCAGGAAGGGGCTGGACCACCTGCTGGTTTCTACTTAGTCTCAGTTCCCTAAAGTGCTTTCTGACCTCATTCTCTCTCCTTGGTTGCTTGCAACACCTGCTGAAAAAGTTTCTAGGACACAGCCACCTGGTCTGTGTGCTGGTGGTGGCAGGTGCATTCTTGCTGATATGTGGTAAGACGGGAGTGTATGTGATTGGCAATGATGCTTAGCAATGTAAGAAGAAAGCCCAGCCCCACAAATCCCAGGCTGGCAACACTGTGGAGGGGGATAGAGTGAAAAGCAGCGGAAAGGAAAGATGGAAAAGTTTGTGAGGATCAATGATGCTGGGAAAGTGGACCAGATTCTTGCTTTGCATATGGCTTTTCTTTGAACCATTTGAGGAAGTGATGTTAGGGAATCTTGTTCCAGAATCAACTCTGCTCCATAAGGGTTTCAGAAGTCAAATGCAAAGCAAACATGTCCTGGGCAGAATAATATATCTGAAATATGGTGATAGGTGCTTTGGAGGGAAACAAAACAAGCAAGAAGCCAGGGTACCAGGGATCATCACGGCATTTGATTAACAAGGGGGTGAAAGAGGGCACATAATTTAGAAAGTGTTGAGTCACTTCAATAACAATCTAACATTTATTGAGTGCTTAATGCGAGCCAGTGAACAACTAATTGACATGAATCATCTCGTTTATTCCTCACAACAACCCTCTGAGTAGGTACTACTATTATCTTCAATTTACAGATGGAGAATTGGATGCCCTGAAATGTAAAGTACACAACTATTGAGGGGAAGACTCAGGTTCTGAATTTGGATATTTCTCAAACCTAATCCTATGAATTCTTAACTTCTCTATTTTATTGATTGTCCTAATTCAGAAATACTACCAATGTGTAACAGTAAAGAGAAAAGGCAATCAACTATTGAGGAACCCAGAATCCTTTGGAAACCTTGCAAAGTTGATTTGGCTTCACTGCATTATGGGAAGGAATATGAACCAACGGGATTTATAGTATGAGAGGCCCTCTAAACTGTTGATCTTACTTGTTGGCTTGAAATAATTGCATGCTGTAAAATCCTGCAGCCATTTCTCAAGTTTTGTTTTTACACAATCAGCTTGGGAGGGATTTAGACATGTAGGCACAATGGGCTAATTTTTCTCTCTCTTGGGTTGGCACCATAAGGTGTGACTATTGGTTCCACCCTGGTATACTGGCAGGCACAAGAGGCATCAGACCTCTTTGAGCCAACAAAAAGATCCTGACGAGCTTGTTTTTCAGATGAGCCTAGGTGAGGAGAACAGAATTTGGGCTGAAAAACTCATAGACAGGAAGTTAAATGTACTCTTTTAGAGTGCTGGGTTATCAGTGAGTCCTCTGAAACAGGTGTTTTACAAAATGGTACCCTGCCACAACAGGTTATTTATATCCTTTTTAGGGGAGTACTTGATACTTAGTATTATTCTGGCTTGAACTCACGATCGATTCAAGTTTAATAATAGTATCTATCACTCTCTTGTAAGGCCTATAACTTCTGTGTTTTGCAGAATGCCTCATGCATGGCAGGGCACAATAAACAGCCTAAATAATGTTTACTCTGATAATGATCTTCTAAGTGCCTTTCATCTAAGACTCAAAGTGTCTGGCAAACACTAATTAGTTAAGCCTCATAGTGGCTCTTTGTTTTACAATACATTTTCCCATTTTACAGAATTTTAAATTGAGACCCAGCAACATTTAGTGGCTTGCCCAAAGTCATAAAGTGACTTTAAATTAACAATAATGATGATGCTTTGCACTTATTTGATGGATGTTTTCTAAGGTGATATAGTATGTCACCAGCCTGGAGCCAGGCAAGTATCAGATATTTCCAGTTACTGGCTATACTGCAAAAAATGAAGCAGAAAAGGTGAGTAATTTGCGGGAATTTAACTGAGGTTGCAAGTCCATTCCTCTGACTCTCAGCGCATACAGGGCATTCGTAGTTCTTGTGGGTGAGGGATGAATGGCTGCTTTCACACTTAACAGGAAAGATAGTTGCATTTTTAGCAGTAGAAACATGTTGCAGAATGATGCCATATTTATATCTAAGGATGGATTTGTTCATATTCACATTGAGAGAGGCATAGAGAAAAAGTGCACCATTCAAGAAAGGAACTAGGGGTGGTGAGGTGAGGCGGCCAGCTCCACTCTTCTGCAGAATGTCTTTACTAACCCAGGCCCTGCCTGAAGGCAGGGACGCTTAAACACTTGGTTCCATATTTCCGCCTCATGACAGGCCTCAGTTCAGAACAGCTTGTCCAATGGGAACAGACGCATTGCTGGCACCTTAGTCTGATGTTACAAGTCCCTGCAGAAGAGCTGTAAGGACACCCAGTATTTAATGGTTTTTCTCTTGCATATGACCAGCTCTCATCTCAACCTCCCATCCTAAAAGGGCCTTCTAAGTCCTCGGCTGCTCCAAAACTTGCTACCTTTTCTTAATCAAACAGTCCCAGCAAAAAACCCAAGAGGTATGCAAAGCTGATAAAAGGCTCACCTCCTCAGTGAGTAATGACACTTCTGAAAGGCAAGTCAGATTTTGCAGGGAGGGGTTGTTGAGGTTAGGAATTCAACTGGGATTTACTGATCCAGAGGTAGGCCCTTTTCTCTATAAACAAGGCGCTTTTGAGAAAAGCTTGCTTCCCACCCCCACTCTGCCTCAGCAGGCCTGTGGATTTCTGATTGATGACTAGGCCAGGGCTAATGGAGAGATGTAAGGAGAACTGCCAAGCCCTTTCCTGGAATGTGTTCACAGGCACAAGCACAATGGCAATAAAAAAAAAAAAAAAAATCTGCAGTGAAGAAATAACACAACATCTCACTTCTTCCCGCTCTCGTTTTTGAATGTCTACACCCATCGCTACCACATGGGTGCCTTCAAGGTTCAGCAAACCCAACCAGAGTTGAACTCTCAGGGGGAAAACTTCAAAAACTTGTGTGGAACACACTTCACAAGCCTCTTCCTGTCTGAGGAAGGGGTCCTGTGCAAATTCACCCTCTGCAACTCTTCTGAGCAAATTTGTGGGATCCTGATGCCAGTATCAAAGCTTGCTGTAGTCAAGACTTGAAAGAATGCAGCTTTGATTTTCTAGGTATGCCAACAATCCGAATCATAGTTTTCTGTGTCCACTTTGGTACACTGACTTCAGAGCTGACAGTACAAATAATCCTGCTGGGCCCACAGGGACCAGATCTTTCTCTTGAGATGTGCTCTTTAGATGCATCCAACATTAACCTCACCACCAAGTTGGACCAAGTCCTCAGGGTATGCTTGCAAGGCCAGATGGACAGACTCACATTACCCAAATACAAAAGGCATGACTAGTAATCATCCATGGGGCTTAACCAGGTCTGTTTGTGTTCTAATTGCAGCCTCTGATGGGTATTTTATTTATCTTACAAAGTGAGATGCATGTTCAGAGCTCCTATACAAATGTGTTGTGTTTCATGGACCAGCCTTTGCTATCAATCAGTCCACCCACCTAGGCGCTTCCCTCCAGGTCAGTCTCGGAGTCATGCTTCAAACAGATTACGAATGACTATTGCCATAATAATGCTTTAAAACTAGTGGTAAAAAGACAGATTTGGGTAAAATTCAAACAGTCTTTGACATTTGTAAACTTCTTGGGAGATCTTAAAAGCAACCATAGTTGGATTTGTTTTCCCTTTTTATCTCACACCCTGGGGTGTTTCCTGCATGCTGGTTTGGCTTCCAAAGCAACAGGAGTCAAAGACCAAAATCCTAATCTAAAAGCCTTGCCCTGTTCTACGCTACTACCTACTACCGCTGGAGAGGAAGTAAGAAGAACCTAGGAAACTTTAGAAGTGTTAAGGAAAACTCAAACAGATTAGATAGGCTCAGGATTCTGCTGTATTACACTAATGTGATTACTGCTCACTGAATGGAAACTTAGCTCTAGGGAATCACTGGTGACGATCTAAAGATCTAAACGTAACTCAAAGAAGACTGTTCCCTGACTGCCAGGGCACACACACACCAAGTGGACTTATATTAGTCAGTAAGCTCTTTCTTACCCCATCCATGTGGATTCTGATGTTGGGCACCAGCCGGAAAGGGCTGCCCTGCAGACTTCTAGGGCTGGTCCTGCTCTTCCTGCTGTCCTGTGAGGTCAGCACTCCAGGCCTGCGGAAGGATCCCCCTCGCCCAGAGCTCGGACCAGAGCGCACACCATCCAGGAGACGCACCAGCAGCAGGTTGGTCGGCAGTGCCTCTATGCTGCAAAACACCAGGGTCCTGCATTCGGGGCACCTCAGCTCCTTGTGGGCCTTGAAAATCCTCTGAAGACATGGTTTGCAGAAGGTGTGCTGGCAAGGGAGGACTTTGGCTGTGACATCAAGCTTTTCGAAGCACACAGGGCACTCCAGAAGATCAAGTAACGTCAGATCATCCATTTTATTTTAAAGCTCTAGTCCCGACGTGGAGGAGCGGGTTCCACATTGTAGAGGCAGCTGAGGCCAGGGCCACAGCCAGTGTTTGGAGAGAGTCAGAATGCCTGCCTGTTTGAAAGAAAAAGAAAGGAAAGAAAATATGTGACTGCTCTGGGAGGTATATCCCACCTACACTGAGGCAGTATCTCATAAGGCAGTTTGCAAGTACTTTGCTCTGGAACCCAAGTTTCAAATGACTCATTGTGATTCAGTGCTAGCGTGTATAAGACTCAACCTGTGCCTGCTGCAAGGATCAGAGGGAGCATTCGGAACAGTGACTGATAGCTCACTGCCTCTTGTGGACTGCGCGAGCAGGGTGACAAAACTGGCCTGTCCAAGTGGCTGTATTCCCTTGTCTACCAGCTGCAGCGGGAAGGAATCCTTCTTACCCCCTCTTACCCTTCCTAATTCTCAAATCAAAGCCCACGCAGAATGTCATTTCTGTGACACTCTCTAGCTTGCCTCCTTAAGTTTGTCTGCTATCTATATCACACACAGATTAAGTTTAAATGAGTTTATCTGAAACGTGTGCAGGTGTAGAATGAACCGCTCTACAATATGTCTTCCTCTACTACTTTGTTAGAGTAATATACTAGAAAAACTACTAGAAACTCATTTTCAGAAGTTGTTTTGCCTTAATTATAGGCCAGGGTACTTGGAAGCTTTGAATCAATCTCTCTCTCTCTCTCTCTCTCTCTCTCTCTCTCTCTCTCTCTCCCTCCCTCCCTCCCTCCCTCTCTCTCTCTCCCCCTTTCCCTGATTATGTTAGACTCAGAGACAGTGCTCTTCCCACAAGGTGAAGTCCTGCAGCCCATTTGGTTGCTGTGACCCGTGCTCTCGGTTTCAGCTGGGCTCTTAGGAACTTCATACTGCGGCAATCTGTGGAAACCCTGCTGAAGCAGCATGTAATGCCGGAGAGCGCATGGTCTGAAATCGATCCTTGTTTCAGAAAGTTTCCTTTTAAGTGTCCGAAGCCCAGACTCCACTTAGAGAAGTCTCCTGGGGAGCAGTCAGCTGGCCCTCACAAGTGCCAAAGCTGGGGTGACCCGAGGAAGCCAGGAGGGAGGCTTGGCAGGACAGCCAGCGAGCCCTCGTAAGCAGGCAGAAGCGACGCAGGAGGGCGAGAGATGGCGCCTCGCCCTCCTAAGAGTCCTCGCCACAGATGTCAGCGCCAGCAGGCTGGGGAGGTGCGGGCTACTAACCTTGTGCCTGTAACCCTGCGAGTCAGCTCAGCTCTGCTGGGTCTGCTGGGTCTGCGGCTCAGGAGGGTGAGCTCCTCCAGTTGGCTTCCTTTCCCGGAGCGCTGCCTCCCGCTGCCTTCAAAACTTTAACCACGCCGAGTCCCACTCTTTTCAAGGGCTCGGCTCACCCAGCCCTATTAACACCTTCACTGCCGGCGGCCGCCTGCCTGTCACTAGTCCTCCCTGCTGATCTTTCCTGTGTGACACTGAGTCAGGTGCTGAGAAAAGGTTGTCAGAGGCAAAGTATGCAGTCAGTCCCTAAGGCTAAGAATTTACGAAGTTTGTATTTCCTTTTTTCCCATTTTCCTCCTATCTAAGAAGTTGAAGCCTCCCCAGGTATAGATGTGCCAAAGTGATTGTATTTATTTTAAAAATTTTAAAGGACGAGCCAGCCACCTAGGAAATGCTGCTCCTTAAAATTGTGGTTGATTCATGAATTTAGAAATGAAAAGAACTAATTCTATTAGAGATAGCGGGAGGCATTATGGTAACCATTATTGATCACCTTGTATTATGCTTTTACATTATCTATTATGTCCACCCTTTTGATTTGATTGACTCTGTTCTGTTATGTCACATTTGGTTCTACTCCCTTCCAAAAAAGTAATAAGAACTGTGGGAGCAACAAAACCCAAAATGGGTAATTGTCATTATACAAAAGAGAGGAAAAGAAAGTGCTCTAAACGATATAACTGCATGTATATTTAAGTGTATAAGATAGAAAATGATATCACTGAGTTTTATTGGATCATTGAACAGAACTGTTTGCAGTCTCACTATTGGAATGTCCACTTTACAAGCTTTAATTTTGTGACTTCAATTATTTCTAAGATGACAATATGTAATCCATTAACTAGTGATTTCCTACTGTTTATTTTTTTCTGTAAATCTATATAACTTGTACCCTTTCTCTGCTTTTTTTTTCTCCTTAAATAAAATTTGAAAAAAAAGCAATGAAAAGAACTGTGGTGATCTTTTGGCTCAATCTCCCACCCACAAAAACTATTGCATGCATACGCACACTTGAAAAATCAATGCAAAGAAGGGTTTTTCTTTTTTTAAAAAAAGAAAAATAATAGCCCCTGGTCTTCTTTTGCCTGACACCCACTTTAGTCATTTCATATCCCCAGTGAAGCCTCATGCCTCCAGTTTTTATTTACCAAGAATGCATGTAATGTAAAGTTACAAAGGTATCTAGTCGAATAAGTAGGTATAATTCCACTGGGTTAGTCTATTTGTGTCAAGCATTGTTGTAAATATCACACCTGTATTAACGTGCTTACCTGTTTACACAACAGAGGGTGAGCTCTTTACCTTCACCGCTCAGATGAAAAAACAGAAACATGCAAAGTAAATAGATCATCCTAGGAGACACAGCTAGCAGAAAGCAGGATGTCTGTGCTCTTAACTATTGTATCATTAGAGTGACAGAATTTTAAGATGAGAAGAGATGGCTTAAGGAAGTTAAATCTCATTTTTTTTTTTTTGAGGCAGAGTCTATGTAGGTCAGGTTGGCTTTGAATTTACTATATAGCCCCAGTTGGCCTGAAAGTATCAAGGGATCCTCCTGCCTCAGCCTCCTGAGTGCTGGGATTACAGGAGTGCACTACCATGTCTAGCCTAAACCTCATCTAGGATGGCAAGAAGTCAAAAGATGACCCAGACTGACCAATCAGCTTCTCTTTGCAGATGAGGTTTCTATGCCCAAAGAGATCAAGAGATTCTTTGAAGTTGCCCAGTGAGTTAAGGACAGAATTGAAACTGTAACCTGGATATTCTTTTCTTAAAAAATGTGGTTTTCCATCCCGTCCTAAGGATAATAATTCTTCAGTATGTGGACAGCACTTAGACCTGAAAGGACTGATATTTTTAAAAGGTTCTTCCATGTCAGAGTTGAATAAGGAAACACGCATGAAGCTCCAAACAAGGAAAACTTTCAGAAGAAGATGATGAAGTTGTTCCTCTTCTGAGCACTGAGTCCTAATTTTTGTGTGCATTGATTTCAGAAGCCACTCTTAACTCTTTTAATCTCCTCTTTGAGCTTCAACATCACATCTCATTTTGCTTTCCTGTCCCCTTCATTTAATTTCCACCATGATTCTGTGTCCATCAGGAAGCCCCTGATGTTTTGAGGGTCTGCGCTGTCTGCTGCCTCTTTTCATCTTAGTAAACCTGGGTCTCCTGTGTAAGATGCCCTGTGGGTCCCCTCCATCTAGAAAGGGGCCCCTCAGGGCTAGACTTTCTGTTGCAAAGGCTGGTGACATGTTCCCTTGCTCATCCCCTACACTCATTTGTCATCGTTTGTACAGATTAATGGGTTTCATTTGGTGAAACTGTACATCCACGTAACATACTTTGCCTTGCCTGTTTTGGAGGAGCAGTTTTGAGGCATATATTATATTTTGCTCCTTCCCATTCCCCTTGCCTGTTCTTGCTTATTTTCAAATACACATTGTCTTCTTGATATACCCACATATGCACCTACATGTGTACATAAGCATGTACACTAGTCTCAGTGATACTCATGCAGAGTACTTGCTGCATGCCCCAGACCAATAAACAAACTAACTCAGGCTTCCAGAGTTTACAATGTGAACCCATACTTGTCTAATTCTGGTTAACATGTTTAGTTCTCATGTTGTAAAGGCATGTATATGCCATAAGTACATCTATATAAACTTGATTGTAAAAAGCCACATACTTTTTATACACAAGTCCATCTGATCCTAGAACCAACCCAAGACAGAACCCTGAAGTCAAAAAAGGAGGCTGGGGTTCTCTGCCTTTTATGTTCTGTCATCTATCCAGCCTTGTGCCTCCTTCATGTCCATGTATGGGCAGTAGCTTCAAAAAGCTTCAATGTGTTGGGCATGGTGGCACATACCTGTAATCCCAGCACTCTGGGAGGCTGAGGCAGGAGCATTGCCATGAGTTCAAGGCCAGCCTGGGCTACATAATTAGTTCAAGGCAAGCCCAGACTACACAGTGAGACCCCTTCTCAAAACACAAACACGAACATGCTTCACTGGTTCCATCCCTGAGAAATCAATCAAACCATCTCAGTCCTACCAGACAAGATAGATCCAGTAGATTACTCTTTCTTAGCATACATGGCAATTGGGGATCAAACCAACCCAATTGTGTTGGTAAGATGTAAGGCACTAGTGGTGGAGATGATCTTTCAGCATCTTTCAAATCTCACTTGTAGGTAACATATGAGGCTAGTCTTGAGGAAACATTTTCTTTGGAAGAAGTGAAAAAAAAGGGAGAATTTTAAATGAGGATGTCACCCCAGCTTGCTTACATGTTATGTTGGCACCAACTCAGATGTACACCTAGTCCATAAAAACAAACAGAAAGATGAACTCTACATGCCTCGCCAGACTCGAGGCCTCCTCTACTGTACCAGCCCATCCACATTTGTGTTTCCATTTGTGAAGTTAGGCAGTGAATGCAGGCTGAGCTTTTAATACTCATGTAATAGTTATGAGATTCTGTTGCTTATGTTTACATATTTGTTTATTTTCAAAAGCAAAACAGAAAAAAAGGTTAGAAATGATACAGAATTTCAAAAAAAGAGAAAAAATAGGGAATTAACACTAGTTAATATATTTATTAATTTATTTTTGTGGTATTGGGGATTGAACCCAAAGCCTTTGCCCTGAGCTACATCCCCAGCCCTTTTTCATATTTTGAAACAGCTTCTTGCTAAGTTGCTCAGACTGTGTTCAAAGTTCCAATCCTCTTGCCTCAGCAAAGTACTGGGACTACAGGCATGTACCACTACACTTAGTTTACACCTCAGTCTATGTTTAAAAAATTAGCAAGTCCAATTATGTTGTTCCTCCATTCTAAGTACTTTAATAGGTTTCTGTTGACCTTAGGGTAAAATCCAAATCCTTTTCCTGACCTTCTTGACCCTCTGTGACCTGGTTTCCCTGGACTCACATTTTCCCTTCACTCACTGCACTATGGACCACTGGCTTTCCTCACCCCCACTTTTAGGAAAGTTGAAGTTTTTCTGCCTCCTTCCTCTTCCTCTCCTCTGTCCGTAGTTACACTCCTCTTACTCACTCGCTGCTTTCACCTTCATCTTTGCAAATTTGAGCTTAAATGTCTCTTTTTCAGGAAGTCTTCCTTAATTTTCATGAGTAGAAAGTTTGTCATCCTACACTTCTCCTTCATAACAGTTATCATAATGGTGATTCAGTACTTGTCGTGTAACGATTTATGCAATGCCCAGCTCTCTCAAGTAGGATATAATAGCAAGGCACTTATTCTCATGTTTTACAGGATGAGTGGTATGTAGTTGATGCTTAATAAATGCTCATAGAATGAGCTTAAGAACGGAAGACTGAATGAATTATGTTCTCAAAACATCTACTTTTGAGCAGATGTACATCAAACTGTTGAGAATGGTTTTGTATTAGACATGTCTGTAGTACCACTGTGAATGTTTTTAGTCCCACCTCCTAATCTACGAAGTTTTCCAGATTTGGGTAGATGATAGTGTGTCTCCTCAAGTTCCTCAAGTTCCTCCAGGCGATGGCATGCATCTCTTGCTTCCTGCTCCAGCTTCTCTGATACTGACACTTGGGTAAACTTTGAAAACTTACTGCCCACTTGGAGTTGTATTATCTAGAAGTATGGATCATGATCTGGTTGATAGGCAGTGCGTAGATCCATACTGGTCATGAGACTTATTTTTTGAGACAGGGTTTTACTATACAGCCTAGGCGGGCTTGAAACTCATGGAGATCATTTTGCCTTAGCCTCCCAAATTCTAGGATTACAGGTGTGTGACATCATGTCCAACTGACTAGTTATGATATTTTATAAGCTCTTCGGAATGTCCTGAGAAAGGACCACTATTCGTCCATTGGGTGGTGGACATGATAATTCAGCCTTGTATCAGTTCTTCCTCATTCTTTTGCTCTCCTGATCCTAACTCCTGCTCCCTAATAAATAACTTCAAGGGAAGTAAACTTTTCTCAGACAAAGAGAGTACTTTTTGAATTTGAAATTAAATCACAAGTATGCTGATAATTTTTGTTGATCAAATTTACTATTTATTGGAATTGACGTGTGCTATTTTAGAAGT